CAGCAGATCCCCCGTCGACGGAGTCATCACCGCGATCGTACAAACCATCCCCATCATCATAACCACACGCTTCAGCCTTATCATCTGCATCATGGTCGCCGTCGTAATCATCATCGTCATGGGCATGACCACAACGAACACAATCATCATCATTACAATCGTCGTCGTTATGCTTACCAGGTGCCTCATCATTTGTTATCATATACTCATTTCCCTCCCTTCCTCCTCACCAACATCATTCATGCTGTCGTCCTCCTCGTCACTTTTCAGACAACGAGCGGATTGCCATAATAAGGACCATCATCCTGATCAGCATAAACGTTCAAAAGCAAACCACCCGAAACATCATTATCGTGAACGCAGCCATCTGCAGCGTCCAAGTCATCATCGTACTCATCATCATTATCATGATCCAAATCGGGCATATCCACATCAGCACCACCATCATCATCACAACCAAAATCTTTACAATGATCGCCATTAGCATCTTCCCCGTCGACGGAAACATCTCCACGATCGTACAAACAATCCTCATCATCATAAGCGCACTCTTCAGCCTCATCATTATCATCGTCGTCGTCATCATCATTGTAATGAGCATCACCGCCACGAGCACAATCAGCATCATCATTAACATCGTCGTCGTATGGTCATCATATCCCTCAATCATCATTACGATGGACCTTATAACATGCTATCCTCTACCTGCTTCCCTTTTTACCTAACAGCGAAGACTGATAGGTTTCTAGTAGGGACAAAAGAGAGCATCGCGAGAGGGGGCGGGCGTCGCGGTCGCCGTCGTCGTCGTCGGCCAGGATTCACGCTTGCATCGCGAGCGATTCGCAATGTGGTCTGGCATGAGAGTGCCTTGCCTCCTCTAGTGTCGTCTTGTTCCAGCTCCTGCGCGCCATGTATCCACTTCCCCATGATTGCCCTTGCTGCCCGCTGTCCACCGGCGCGCCCCGAGCGTGGCCGGTGGGGAGGTGGTGTCGCCTGCTACGCTCTCCGCTTTCATGCGTGCCAAGAGTGTCTGTCCGCGCTGTTTTTTGCCCGACCCGTCGCGCTTTGGCTCCGAGGCCCCGCGTGCGAGACGAGCGGCTGCCCTGCCGCCCCCGCTGCCCCCAGCCCGCGGCCATGCCGTCCACTGAGCGAGCCCCCAACCGGGACCGCAAACGTCACGGAGACCGTGAACGCGACAGAGATCGGGATCGCTCACGTGACCGCGACCGCGACAGGGACCGGCGCAGGGGCCGCGCCCGCAGCAGCCGCAGCAGCCGCGAGCGCCATCGTAGGCGCCGCCCCAGCCCGCTATCATCTGAGCTGACCCCATCCAGGCCTGATGAGTGTAGCCCGACGCCTGTGGCAAGCAGCCAGCCGCGCGGCCCGTCGGTTGAACACAGCGCGGCGCTCGGAGCTTTGATCCCGTCGCAGCCTGCCACCCCCTGCCCTTTCCCGGCCGAACCGCCTCCCGGCGATTGGAGCCCCTTCCCGGGGGCGTCCGCGAAAGCCCGCGCGGTCCTGTCCCCGGCTGCGGCGGGGCCTACTGTGCTTGCGCGGGCCACCGGCGGGCTGGATCGGCGCGGCGCCAGTGTCGCCGCCGCCGCCGCCGCCCCCGCCGCCTCCATCGCCCCCGGCTGGCGCGGGCCCATCAACGCCAAGGCGGGGCAATGTCGCCACCGCGGAGCGGTCGCCTGAGCGGTCGCTTGGCCCGCCGGACGCGTCTCCTCCGCCACTGCCGCCGGGGTGGGAGTCTCGTCGCGCGCGGTCCGGGGCTCTGTTTTTCCAGAACAGGCGCACGGGGGAGAGCCGTTGGGACCACCTGGGCCTGAGCCAGGTAGTTCCCGCCGCGGCCCCCACTGTCCTTGTCCGCGATTCTACAGCGGCAGCTGTCACCCAGCCGCTCTCGGCCCCCCCGGAGGGCACGGCGCCGGAGACCCAGGCCGCGTCGCAGCATGCGGCGCGCGCGGCGGCAAGCCCCGGACCGCCAACGGCTGACCCGCTTCGCTCGCTCCGCCAAGAGCTGGAGGTTCTCCAGGCCGAGCGCCCGGCATGGGTGGAGTTCCGCGCCACCGGCGGAGGCGGGGCCTTGTGGCTCCACAGTGCCACCCAGCAGATGGCGCGCAGCAGGCCCACTGAGGTCGAGTCCTGGCTCTCCCGCGCTGCCCGCCTGAATCAGCAGCTCGCTAGCTTCTCGCGGCCCGCCGGCCAGCTGCCAGCCGAGCCTCCAGTCGATCCCAGCACTGCAGGCCCACAGCTGGAGGCTGTCGCAGGCCCTGCAGTCGCGCCGCTTACTGCCCGCCACCCTGCCGATGAGCCAGCCATGCGCGCAGCCATCGAAGCCCAGGCTCAGAGCCAGGCGGGGCCCGCAGCTGCGGTAGCCGGCCCTCTAGTTGCGCAGCCTGCTGCCCAGCCCGCTGCCATCCTAGCCCATGTACGGAGCCAAGCGGCGGCCGCCGCGGCCCCGGCGCCGGTTCTCGGTCTGCCCCCAGTCGCTGGCGACGCTGGCATGCCGCAACCCTTGAGCCTCGTTAGGTTTAGCACCAAGGCCGAGCACGAGCAGGCAGTCTCAAGCTGGCTTATGCGGGCGCGGCAGATCGTAGGAAGCCACAAGGACCCGAGGCTGAACCTCACTGCCCACTTTGCTTCCAACCTCTCTTCGCAGGTGGACCTCCACAATGCAGCGCAAGCTATGGGCGTCCGCATAGTCCATGGCTCGCGCCGCGGTGGTGCCACCTACAGCAGCGTCCCGCCTTTTGCGTTCGCTACGGGGGGCCCGAACCAACCGTCTCTGGAAGTCACCGCGGCGTTGTCGCCCAAGCAGAAGTTTCAGATTCAGCTTGTCAACAAGAGGTTTGGCACTGCAGTTGTGCGCGGGGGCTGGGCCACCCTTGACACTTGGATCGAGGAGCTGATTTTGTTTCTGGGCCCAGTGGTCGACCTCCAGTCACCGGCCCCGCCAGCCTCTAGTGCTAATCTGTTGCGCGAGACGGCGCCGAAGAGGTCGGCGCGCCAGATTCTAGCTGACGCGGAGGAAGCCATCCAAAGGGGCATTGGCAATCTCGGCTGAACGTCACGGGCGCACGGCCGCCCGCAAGGCTCGAGCGGGCCACTAGGTAACCTCATTAGGACATCCCGCTGCATGCCCTGCGTCGCCTCAGGAAGCCAGATGAACCATATTGGTTGAAGCGCAGCGGAAAGCAAGGAGTGCGCTACTGCCTCTCCGCTGGTGCCCAGTGCCCTCGGGGTCTCTGCGAGCGCATGCTATCATACTGTTGAGGCAGAGATGTCAGCAATGCACTTCGGTCTCAGTTGGGCATGGTGGAAGGTTGCTAGGTCTGTGCATTGTTGCATCTGTTGTCTATGGTATATGCTCTTGTTTTGCACGTGCGAGCACCTGCCCCGGCGTGCCTGAGTGATGTGGATGCTGGACGCAGGGTCATGAAGTGATGGGCCATTCCTGCTCGCATGTGTCCCCGTGCTTGCCCGTCCGTGCGCGCGCTTGCGCTGCCCGTTGTGCTCCGCGCGCGCGCGCGCGTGCTCTCCCTCCGCGCGCGGCCCTGTCACCGCCGTCGCTGATGCCTGCCGCCGACGTCCATTTGCTTGCCACTGGGGCCTGCGCTGCTTGGGGGTACCATGGGCGTGAATGAGCGCGGTGGCCAAGCGAGAGGGCTCAAGTTCTGCTGGACACCCCCTCGGAATCGCGCCCGGCCGCCCGGGGCCGAGTCTGCAGCCAGAGGAGGCGCGCTGCCAGCTATGGAGGCCCGAGGGATTGCGTGCCCAATGGCACCACTCCGCGATCTTGTATTGCGCTGGCCGGGGACAGAGAGCCGTAGCCTGGAGTTGTCAGCATGTGCGAAAGATTGCGGAGCTCTCTTGGACATCTGCCCTTCTCTCCCACCCCCCTCCTGCTGGGATGTGGCGGCGCGGCTGCCCCGTTGGCTGCCTTGGTACACGCGCTCTCATCGTTAGTGCGCAGGGAGGTGGCGCCCTCGCTCGAGCGCCTTGCTGTGCCTCGGCCGCCGCGCCCTGTGGTCTCACCATACGCTGAGGGCCTCTGTGCTGGGGTTTGCCAGCAGCCGCCTGCCCCTGCCCAGCTTGGGTCCCGAGATGCGGTCTGCGTGGCCGTCCTTAACCCGGGGCGCCTAGGCTTCCTTGCTCTGGGTACTGATACCGATGTGATGCTAGAGTGGCGCTTACACGCTGTCGCCCAAGTTCTGTCCGACTCCGGCGCCGACATCTGTGCGACGCCAGGCGCGCGCATGCCGCCCGGGGCAGTGTTGCCTCCTGGCTTCCCGTATACGTGGATTGGGCCACGCTCTGTGTCCTGGGGCGCGGTAGGTGTTTTTGCGCAGCGCGAGTTGGCCCAACTCCTCCGCCCTGTCTCCGAGCTTTCTTCTGATCGCGTGCAGTGGTTTGAGTTTTGGAGTGGCGCCTCTGTTCCAGGGGAGGCCCGCGGCCCGTGCTTCGCGCTCTGCGCGTGCTACCCCGCCCCGGGCGGGGACGTTGCAACGTGGAGCGGCATTATCTCATCAGCGTCCTCGGTGCGCGCGCGCCACCCGAGCGCGCGCGTTCATATTTGCGGAGACGGCAATGTTCACTTGTCATACGTGTTGGAGCACCCCCATGAATGCACTTGCCTGCACTGCCGCCAGCCGGCCTCGGATCGCACGATAGAGGCCATGAGTTCCGCGGCCGGCCTGGTGGCGCGCAACCCCCCAGTTCCGACGCATGACTCTGGCACGTGCATTGACCTCGTCCTTACTGATGAGCATTCAAGTCTTCCCCTCGGTTGCCCACGCGAGCAGGGTTGACTCTGAGAATCGCTTAGTGGCGTGCTCTGTGCCTTGCTCGTTTCGCAGGCCGCACCTCGCGGGCCTGTCCCGCGTTGGCTGGCGCACGGATAGCAAGTGGGATGACGCGCTGCTCGCTGTCGCGCCGGTTCTGGCTGCATTGGCTGATGCGGGTGGGAGCCTCATTGCGTGCACCTGGTTGCGCCCGCCATGGAGTGGCGGCGGCGCCTCCAGACGGGAACGCCGCATGCTCTTAGACGCCGCCGCGTGGGCGAGGGATTAGGGTTCGCGGCGGGGGCCACTAAGGCGTCCGCGGCGGCCCCCGCGCGCGCCCCGCGACCCCCCCTCGACCCGAGCGCGTACGAGTCACAAGCTGCGTTTAAGAGGGCGGTGGCGCTGGCGTCCTGGGCGGACCGCCATCAAGCGTTCTCGCGCTACTTGAACCTCCGCGCCCGCAGCCCCGGCTTGGCCGAGCGCTTCCTATCCGGGGTTTTTCGATCGCGCAACGCTTTTCAGATTGCTTTGGTCGATCCGGCCGACGGGAGTTCCCCCGACGTCGAGGAAATGCTTGCTGCTCTGCGGTCGGACCTGGTTGACCGCGTGCACAATGACTTTGCTGTTGACCAGTTGGAGCAGCGGGCGCAAGCTCTCGCTGTCTCGGCAATTCGCGCGGAGGGCGCGAGCTCCGGCCAACCCGCTCCGCGCCTCTACTCGGCTTCGGAGGTCGACGCCGTACTGGACAACTTCAAAACTACATCCTCGGCGCTCCGCGGCTGCTATGCGGCGGTCAGCTCTGTCGTCCCGGAGGGCAGCCGGGTCACGAGGGCCCTGGCCAATCTGTCCAGACTTTGCGCCAGCACCAGCACTTTGTGGTCTGCCCGCCAGGTGACCCCCCTCCACAAGTCGGGCCCCCGGGTCGTTCGGTCCACGTAGTGTCTTCGCCCGATTTCAATCTCGGCGGTCATGACTGCTGTCGTGGATGGTCTCTGGACTGCGCGCAACGCCCCGCTACTTGAGCAATACTGCGGCGTGGCGCAGCAGGGAGGGGTTGGAGACCCAATTTCCCCCCTCCTTGCCCTCCTCATCCATGCCCAGCTCCAGTGCGCCCAAGGCCTCCCCACTTATTGGGCGGTCACTGGCGGCCACTGATCTTCAATGGGCTTTCGACGTCGCGTCCCACCTTGCCATGCTACTCAATGCCTATGAGGCTGGGGTGTGTGATGACGACTGGCTTCTCCTCGATGATGCTATGTCGTTCAGATTCCCAGTTTATTGCATTGAGCGGCCACGTGTCGCCTTTATTCTCGCTTGGAGGTGGTACGGCGCAGGGCCGCAAGTTTAGCGTAGGCGTTTTTACTGCGCAGCTCAAGTGGTTGGCTGAGGACGTGTACCGCGTGCTCCCGGGGAGTGGCGCGGCTCGGGTGGATCCCCACCTCCGCCAGCTCTGCATGGGGCCCCAGGTTTCTGACGCCCGCGAGTCGGGGATGCCCGCGCCGCCGGCAGTAGGGGGCGACCTCGAGGCTTTAGCTGTCGAGGTGGCGTCGGCAGCTGCGGCCGAGCAGGCGCCTTTCCCGAGGGCCGAGAAGGCAATCGCCTTAGGGGCTTCGCAGGTCACCTCCGAGGCCGATCGGCCCTACTTGCTTGACCGGCTGGGCTCGGGCCTCCTTCCCCCCTTGCATTTCGTCGACGACCTCACGGTTGCCGCGCCCTCCCCGGGCGCTCTCCGGGCCATTGCGTCACGGGGGCCGTGGTCAGCTTGCTCGCCGCATGCGAGACGCACCCGCGTCCAGTTTAATTATTCCTCCGGGAAGACGGCTGCCATGGCAATCCTAGACAGCCCCCCCGCTGGTGATGTCGGATGCCCAGTGGTAGACGCAATGCTTACCTTGGGTGTTCTCGTTGATGCTCGTCTCACTTTTGGCCCACTCCTTCGGGCTACGCTGGCTAGAGGCAATGATTTGTTTGAATCACTATTATTCGCTGGGGAGACGGGCGGCTTTGGTCTCCCAGTCCTGTGTGCCCAGGTGCCCTTACGCGTGGACTCCGCGTTGCTATACCCGCCCCCTTTTCTCTTCCTTGCTCAGCGCGCCCGCTACTCGCTCGACTCTTTGCAAGCGTCCTGGGCCCGTCGCCTTCTCGGCTGCGCCATAGGTCCAGCGCTGCCAGGCGAGGCTGTCCTTGCACACTGCGGGTGGCATTTGCGACTGGGTACCAAGATGGTGGAGCGCGCCATCTTGGCTCGGGCGAAGCTCTTCTTACTGCCAGAAACGCACCCGGGCGCCAGCATGCTTAGGCTGGCCTCGGCCACATCTTGCCCCACCTGGGCGAGCGCCGCCCAAGCTGTGATGGAGGCGCTGGACAGCCCCATCCCAGACGTGGTTGATTGGCCTCGCGCAGGCGAGCAGGCGTGTTCCGCTGCCCGCGCGGGCCCCACGGCCCGCCGCCTACTCCTTCGCAATTACAAGTTTTACGTCGTTCGCCCAGCCCTTTCCAAACTTGATCTTGTCGCGTTCCAATGGGCGACTGCCGTTGCCTTGCCTGTCTCCCGATTGCCTTTTTCGGCTTCGCATACAGGGTCGCCAGGGGCTGGAGTGGAACATGCTGGACCTTGCCCTTGGGCCTGCCTCGTGGCTCCACCTTCGCCTGCGGGCGTTTGTTCGCATGTCGGGCTGGTGGCCGCTCCAGGTCTTGGGAGCTCCGCTTTGCGTCGCCACCCTGCCCCGTTGCGGCGGCTGCGGCGCGCTGGACGTGGACATCTGGCACGCCCTTTTCGCGTGCCTCGCGACAGCCACTCACCGGGCTTCCGTCTGGTCTCGGCTCCCTCTGCCTCCCTCCTCCTGTTGCGCCCAAGTCTCACAATTTCTCTCCCACCACAGCAGGCCGCCGGTGGAGCGCCGCGAGCACGTTCGCTCCGTTGCTGCTGCAAGGCTCGAGGCCATCACCGTCTCGAGCCAGTTCTAGGGCACTGCTGGTGGCTTTGCAGGGGGCTCAGGCAGGGGGGGGCCGGCAATCGCCGGCGCCGTCGCGCTCACCCCCCTCCCCCCCCACGCACTGCAGTAGCTGGTAGCTGGACCATATATCGGATGCGCCCGCGAGAAAGACGGCGACGCAGCAAAAGGCAGGACGGCCAAGAAGCATCATAGTGCACCCCTGCTGCCCCTTTTCCATCATCATCTCTCTTCTCTGTTGCTCCCATATTCCATGCCTCATTTGAATGGAAGATTGTCGCTCTCATGTGTGCGTGCCTTTGTAAATGACGCGCCGTTTCTGTCTGCGTGGCCGTGCCGTGTCGGTCGTGCTGTTTGGCGTTTGCCGCGGTGTGCCGAGCCCTCTCTTGCAATTTCGTTTTCCAACAATGCTAAATCCCCCCCCCCTGGTCTGACGGTGCGCCCCCCGTCGGTCCTGCAGACCAGAAGGGCAATTCCTGTGTGGAACCCTATTCCCCAGGCCGAACCCGCGTTCTCTGCCCTGTCCCTCCTCCCCCTTGCACCCCTCCCCCTCCCTTCCCTGCCCCTCCCTTCGCTCGTGCCTTTCTTATTATTCTTCTTCTTATTCCTATTATTCTTCTTCTTCTTATTATTCTTCTTATTCTTATTATTATTATTACTATGTTGTCTTCTTCTTCTTATTATTAGTATTATTATTCTTATCATTATTATTATTATTCTTATGATTATTCTTATTATTCTTAACAGTATGATTATTATTCTTATGTTTCTTCGTATTATTCGTCTTATTCTTCTGCTTATTATTATTAGTATTATTCGTATTAGTCTTCTTCTTAGTATTATTATTCTCATTCTTCTTCTTAGTATTATTATTTTTAGTATTCGTATTATTATTATTCGTATTATTATTATTAGTAGTATTATTATTCTTCTTCTTCTTATTCTTCTTTCTGCCCCTCTCTGCGGCTGGCCCTCTTCACAGCTTATGCTTTCCCATGCAGTGTTTGTGCTTATTCACATTACACTTTCTTTTTGTTCCTGCGTTTTCCACCTTTTGTTATTCTTGCTCCTGCTTCACAGTCGTGATGCGGTCGTTGTTTTTGAATGCACTGTACCGCTCACAGGGTACATTGTACTGGGTCCATGTCACTTGTCCGATCCGATGCATCTTATTTTTGCTCCTGCTTCACAGTCGTGCTGCGGTCGTAATTCTTGGATATCCTCCACCGCTCACACGGCACAGTGTACTGGGTCTCTGCCACTTGTCCTATCCGATGCATCTGCTTTGACCTCTTTTTGTTGTTTGATTTTGCACTCTATTGTCCTTGTTCGCCTCCTTGTTGTTTGTCATGCTCTCCACTCTCTTTGCTGGCCGCACGCGCGGGGCCAACCCCCATGCGTCTCCCTGGGGGCAGGGGGGGCCGGCCACTCGCTTTTTTGAAGGCTGGCGCCGTCATCTCGGGGTGCACGTGGGAGGGTGGATCGGCGCGGGCTGCGAGTATTCATCCTCCCACGGGGTGCCCCACGAAGGGCGGTGCTAGACCCGACCCTAGACGGGGGCACCCTGCGTTCCATCTCGCCCACTTCTCTCTTGGGGAGCGCGCTGGGGCGCCGCGGGGGCCCACGGGCCGGGCGCGCGGCGCGCGGCGCGCGGCGAGCGCCCGACCCGTGGCCGCCGATGCGGAGGGAAAAAAATTATGCTAACGGGGTTCCCCACACGGGCGTTTTAATAGGGCGCGGGCTTAGTCAGGAGGAAGAGGGAGAGGCGGAGGCGCGGGGGGAGGGGTCGACGAGGATGGCCGGGTGACGGGGGCGACGAAGACTGCAATTGGCGATGGCGATGTGCAGGCAAATGTTTTGGGGAACACCTCGCGTACACGACGCGGCCAAGATAGTGCAAATCGGAACGACAGCCCAAGAGCGGGGCCAAACCAAATAAATAGCACGGTATTCGTATACCCTCCCTGGAGGGGTGGCAGGGGGCCCTCCTCGCTCAGGCGGGGCCTCCCTGGAGGGGTTGGAGAGGCACGAAACCTGATCAATAATATGGTTCGCGAATACCCTCCTCGCTCTGGTGGGGCCCCCCTGGAGAGGTGGGAGGGGCGCGAAACCTGATAAATAATATGGTTCGCGAATACTGTCCTCGCTCTGGCGGGGCCTCCCTGGAGGGGTGGGAAGGGCACGAAACCTGATAAATATTATGGTTTGCGAATACTGTCCTCGCTCAGGCGGGGCCTCCCTGGAGCGGTGGGAGGGGCACGGAACCTGATAAATAATATGGTTTGCGAATACTGTCCTCGCTCAGGCGGGGCCTCCCTGGAGGGGTGGGAGGGGCACGAAACCTGATAAATAATATGGTTTGCGACTACTGTCCTCGCTCTGGCGGGGCCTCCCTGGAGCGGTGGGAGGGGCACGGAACCTGATAAATAATATGGTTTGCGAATACTGTCCTCGCTCTGGCGGAGCCTCCCTGGAGCGCTGGGAGAGGCACGAAACCTGATAAATAATATGGTTTGCGAATGTTGTCCTCGCTCTGGCGGGTCCTCCCTGGAGGGGTGGGAGGGGCACGAAACCTGATAAATAATATGGTTCCCGAATACTGTCCTCGCTCTGGCGGGGCCTCCCTGGAGCGGTGGGGAGAAATTACGAAACCTGATAAATAATACGGTTTGCGAATACTTTTTGAGAGGGGGGGGGGCACAGTCTTTTTGAGAGTGTCCTCTTTTTGGGGGAGACGGGTGGCTTTGCCTTGCCTGTCATTTGTGCCATGGTGCCAGCCCGCGTTGAGTCGGCAATTCTGCATCCTGCCCCCTTCCTCTTCTGCGCGGCACGTGCGCAGTGGAAGCTTAATTCCATGCAGGCAGCATGGGCCCGCCGCCTCTTGGGTTGCGCTTGTGGCCCCCCTATCCCAGCTGAGGTCGTGATTGCCCAATGTGGCTGACGCCTTCGGCTGGGGACCAAAATGGTGGAACGCACAATCATGGCCTTCGCCCGCGCTCAGCTCCAGCAGGAGGGGCACCCTGCTCGCGCCATGTTGGACCTCGCTGATGGACTAACAATCAGCACCTGGGCAAGAAAAGCGCCCTCTCACATGGCGGCGTTCTCTCCGCCCATCCCCCGGGTCACTGAATGCCAACTCTTTGAAGCTTACCCTCTGGATGCTGTGCGGGCGGACCCGGGGTTACGTAGGGCTGTTCTGAGGCAGTATAAGCTCGGTTTTGTTCGACCTGCCCTGGTGGCGGCTGACTTGGCAGCTTTTCAGCAGGCGGCCTCAGTGTTTCTGCCCGCCCTCGAGCGCCCTTTTTCTAGTCTCCAGTCCTCGCCTGCCCAGCGCCCCGCGGAGTTCCTGAACCTTGATTTTGGCCCGCCCACGTGGCAAATGGTCCGGCTTTGGGCTGTTGTGCGTATGTCTGGGCGTTGGCCTTCCCCGGTGCTCGGCGCCCCGATCCTGCCCCATCGCTTGGCGCGGTGTGCTGCGTGCGGAGCTGAGGATGTTGACGTGGCGCACGCCCTCCTCCAGTGTCCCGCCTTAGATGGTCACCGGGCAGCGTCGTGGCCAGCTATTGCGCTCCCGCCCCCTCTGCGCGCGACCTCGCTTTGTTCCAACTGTTTAGGGAAGGGGTGCCTGAAGAGACGCGCGTGGCACAAGTCCGCTATGTTGCTGTAGCGATTTGCAGGGCGCACTTGGGATAACCCGGGGTAGCGCGTACGGCTTGCGTTCTCTCCTCTCGCTGCTGCTGTTCTGCCTCCCTCCCCTCGCTTCCGCCAGCCTGTAGACCGCGCGCCGCTTTTGGGGTGCAAAGGGCGTGCACCGCGTCAAGCCCAGTTCTGGGTGTTCGGGTGGGAAGCCCTGCTCCCGTCCCCGTTTTTCTTTTCTCCGCCTCCTCTGCATTGCACGCCCTGGGGCGCCAGGGGCGTTCGCCGCACCTGGGCAGGGCCCGGTGGGTGGGGAGGGCCCCCGTCGTTGCCCAGGGGGTGGTGTGGGGTGGTAAGGTGAAGTCAGCCACCCGGCACTGGCTCATAGTGAGTCGCAGTGAGCGGCCAGGTCCCCGGTTGCCGCCGCCTGCTACGCGCCAGGACAGCCCCGCGCCTCGTGTCAGTGTGCCCTGCTTCGTTCCTCCCCTTTCCCCCCCTCGCCCCCTCTTCGTGCTTTTTCCTTGGGTGATCTGTCGGGGCCAGGCCAGTCCGCCCTGCTGGCAAGGGGGCAATTTTGGTCGCGCTCGGGCCGTGCCTGCGGGGTCTTCTGCCCCCGTTCCCCGTCTCTTCGGGCCGTCTCACCGGGCTTCCGCCAGTCTGTTGACCTCGTGCTACCTCTGCGGTTGCCTTTTCACCTTGTGGTCTATGCGCTCGCCATGTCTGACCGTTGGCCCCAGGGCATGCGGGGGAGGGTGCGGAGCTCAGTCGCTTGCTGCTTCTGCTAGCTGTCTCCCCGCGATGCCTGCACTTGCACCGCTGACCAGGCCCTGGGGCGCCGCATGGGCGCCCCCGGTGTGAGCCGGGGCCCATGGGCGGCCCGGTCTGGTGAGCACTCACACTCTTTGGGGGGCCAACGATGGGGAGTGAAAGACCTCCACCAAACCGGGGCCACCTAGCGGCTCTCTCCACTGCCCGCGGCGCCCAGGTGAGGGCTGAGTGAGCCGCCGCGGGGGAAGACGGCACGGCGCGGCGCGTCCGCGGGCGCGGGCGCGGGCGCGCCGCACCGGACGTCGCCGCAAGCGGTATGAAATGAAATGAAATGAATACTGTCCTCGCTCTGGCGGGGCCTCCCTGGAGCGCTGGGAGGGGCACAGAACCTGATAAATAATAGGGTTTGTGAATGCTGTCCTCGCTCTGGCGGGGCCTCCCTGGAGCGCTGGGAGGGGCACGGAACCTCATAAATAATATGGTTTGCGACTACTGTCCTCGCTCTGGCGGAGCCTCCCTGGAGCGCTGGGAGAGGCACGAAACCTGGTAAATAATATGGATTGCGAATACTGTCCTCGCTCTGGCGGGGCCTCCCTGGAGCGCTGGGAGGGGCACGAAACCTGATAAATAATATGGTTTGCGAATACTGCCTTCGCTCTGGCGGAGCCTCCCTAGGGCGCTGGGAGGGGCACGAAACTTGATAAATACTATGGTTTGCGAATACTGTCCTCGCTCTGGCGGGGCGTGGTACGAGGTATTGTGTGGTATTGTATGGTGTGGTAGGTGTGCGGTGATGGTGTATGTGTGGTTTCCTAGGTGTGGTATTGTACGGTGGTCTGCTATAATATGGTATGGTAATATATGGTATGGTATATTCTGGTATGGTAGGAGTAGGAAGAGGGAGCGGTATTGCATGGTTTGGTATAATATGGCATGGTTTGGTAGGAATAGGAAGAGGGGGCGGGAGGTGGGAAGGTGAGAAGGTGGGAAGGTGGGAAGGAGAGGGTGTCCTGGGAAAACAAGAACCCCACTCTGGATGGGGGAGGGGAGGGGGGGGAAGAGAACAAAAACACACACACACACACACACACACACAAAAACACAAAAACACACACACACACACACACACAGACACACACACACACACACACACACACACACACACACACAAAACACACACACACACACACACACACACACACACACACACACACACACACACACACACACACACACACACACACACACACACACACACACACACACACACACACACACACACACACACACACACACACACACACACACACACACACACACACACACACACACACACACACACACACACACACACACACACACACACACACACACACACACACACACAAAAAAAAAAAAAAAAAAAAAAAAAAAAAAAAAAAAAAAAAAAAAAAAAAAAAAAAAAAAAAGCACGCAGCACCACTACGACTACCACCAGCAGCGCCACCACAACTTGCACGGCGACCAGCACCACCACCACGACGGCGACCAGGGGCAGCACGGCGACCAACAGAAACACGACAACTACTACCACAACTGCGACAACAAGCAACAGCAGCAGCAGCAGCAGCAGCACCACCACCACCACCACCACCACCACGACGGCGACAAGGGGCAGCACGGCGACCAGCAGAACCACGACAACTACTACCACAAATGCGACAACACGCAGCAGCAGCAGCAGCAGCAGCAGCAGCAGCAGCAGCAGCAGCAGCAGCAGCAGCGGCAGCAGCAGAACCACCACCACAACTGCCACGACTACGACCAGCAGCGCCACACCCGCCAGCACGGCGACCAGCACCACCATCATCACCACCACCACCACCACCACCACCACCACCACGGCGACCAGGAGCAGCACGGCGACCAGCAGCACCACGACAACCAATACAACTACAGCGACAACAACAAACAGCAGCAGCAGCAGCAGCAGCAGCACCACCACCACCACCACCACCACCACAACCACTACGACTACGACCAGCAACGCCCCCACCACCAGCACGGCGACCAGCATCACCACCACCACGACGCCGACCAGGGGCAGCACGGCGACCAGCAGCACCACGACGGCCACTACAACTACAGCGACACCAACAAGCAGGACCACCAGCAGCAGCATCACGACCACCTACCCCGAGCTTGTGGGCCCCCGGCGAAGCTACCTCTTGGTTGCTGGAGCAGAAACGGGCGGACGATGTGATGAGGAAGCGTACAAGTTCCTCGTGGTCTTGGCGCGGGCCCTGGCCAGGGGCGCGCCAGCTGCGCTCCGAGGGTCGCTGACAACGGCGCTGCTGCACAGGTGGACTGGCATGCTGTCCCTCGCCATTCACGACGGCCTTGCGGCCAGCCTGCTAGAGGACGTGCCCGGCGAGACGCTAGGCACGACGACGACTGCGACCCCTGCCAACGGCGACGCGACGACCAGCAGCAGCAGCAGCAGAACCACCACGACAGCGACCAGCACCACCACCACTACCACGGCCACCAGCACCACCACTACAACTACCACTTAGCGACGGCTACCAGCAAAAGCACCACCAGCAGCACGACGACGACTGCGACCTCCACCGACGGCAGCGCAGCGACTACCAGCAGCAGCAGCAGCAGCAGCAGCAGCAGCAGCAGCAGCAGCAGCAGCAGCAGCAGCAGCAACAGCAGCAGCAGCAGCAGAACCACCACGACAGCAACCAGCAACGACGCCACCAGCACAACCACGACCACGGCGACCAGCAGCGCGAAGACGGCGACCAGCAGCAGCACCACCACAGCCAGCGCGACAACAGCAGCCCGCAGCACCAACGCCCGAGCCCGCGCCAGCACCACCACGACACAGAGCAGCGACGCAGCAGCTACCGCCACCGCGACCACAACCACGAGCACAACGACAGCGACTACCACGACAACGACCCGCAGCAGAACTGCCACCAGCACCAGCACCGACGCCACCAGCACCACCACCACCACCACCCCACCACGACCACGCCAGCAGAACTGCCACCAGCACCAGCAGCACGGCCCACCACCACGACCCACCACCGCCACCAGCAGCAAGACTGCCACCAGCACCGACACCACCAGCACCACCACCACCAGCACCGCCACCACCACGGCCGCGACGAGCAGCAGCGCGACGAAGACGGCCAGGAAGGGGCCCAGAATGGAGCGGGGGCCGGAGGTGGGACGGGGCTGCCGCGCACCCGCCTGCGGGCCCCACCTCCCAGGCGTGGGACGGGGCTGCCGCGCACCCGCCTGCGAACCCCACGCCTGGGCCCATCCTCCAAGAACGCAGAGGAGCAGGGGCCTGCTGGCGACGAGCCGGCCTCAGAAACGAAACGGGGGTGGGAGGTGGGACGGGGCTACCGCGCACCCGCCTGCGGGCCCCACCTCCCGAGCGTGGGACGGGGCTACAACGCCCCCGCCTACGGGCTCCACGCCGCAGCTGCGCCGAGGCGGAGAAGGAGAGGGCGCGGCCGAGGAAGCAGAAAAGGAGGCAGCGCGCGCCAGGAGGGCGAGGCAGCTGGCGCTAGGCCGCCCTGCGCCTGGGGCGCTGCTCAGAACCCTGCGGCAGCTGGCGCAGGCCCCGGCGCGGCTGGCGGGCAGGCCAGGCCGCGACAGGCAGACCGCGCCGCGAGCGGCGGGCAGCGGCGGCCGCTGGCGGCAGCGACGCTGGCGGCCGCCTGGCCGACGGCCGCGACGGCGGCGGCGGAAGCTGGGGCAGCGCGGCGGCTGCGGCCTGCAGGCGGCGGCTGAGCGAGCCTGCTCGCCACGCCGCGGCAGCGCGGGCGCTCTCTGCGCCAAGGCCCGCCCGCGGCAGGTTCGAGGTCCTCCTGGCTCCGGCCGAAAACCTCCCGCTCCTTTGGGGCGTGCCCCCGCCCCGCACTCACCGCGGGCGCGCGGGGGATGCTCGGACTGGCCGACGGGGGAACGCGGCTGCCTTGGGCGGGGAGGGGCGGGGGAGAGGAGGGGGGGAACATACAAAACAAAAACAAAAACAAAAACAAAAAAAAACAAACAACAACAACAACAACAACAACAACAACAACAACAACAAAAACAACAACAAAAAAAAAAAAAAAAAAAAAAAAAAAAAAAAAAAATGATACAGCCCGCCGGCGTCCCGCACGCCCAGCACATCGGTTCGTGGCCCGCCTCCCGCGTCCCCGCATTCCACCCACCCAGTACAACGCTTCGTGGCCCCACTGGGGGGCCCCCCCAAAGGTCCTGCTGCTGGCGTCTGCCTGCGCCCCGCGCACACGGTACACCAAATTTGGCACTTTCCCCCACCCAGTAAAACGCTTCGTGGTCCCATACGGAGCTCCACCGAAACACCCAGTACCACCGTCTGCAGGCGTCCTGGAAACCCAATTTGGTAGTTCCGCCCACCCTGTCCAGCGCTTCGTGGCCCCACAGCGAACTCCACCGAAACCCCCCAGTGGCCCAGCGGGACCGCCCGCAGGCGCTCCACACGCCCACACGCCTCTCGGCATTTTCACCCTCCTAGTACAACGCTGCAAAGGACGGTGCCCCGCGTTCCTCTCCTCCTCTTGCCCTCCTCCCTCCCACTCCTCCCCGTCCTCCCTCCTCCCTGCGTGGCCCCACCAAGTACAGCGCCCCGTGGCCCCATTGAGAGCCCCACCGAAGGTCACAGCAGAACAGCCCGCACGCCTCCCGCACACCAGCGTTTCGCAGCCCCCTCTCCTCCATCCTCTCTGCGTTTCACCCACCCAGTACAACGTTTCGTGGCCACAGAGGGAGTCCCACCGAAGGTCCCACGGGGACCGCCCGCAGGCGTCCCGCACTGCCAGTACAGCGTTTCGTGGCCCCGTCCTCCCTCCCCCGTGCGTTCCACCCACCCACTGCAGCGCGTCGTGGCCGCATAGGGAGCCCCACCGAATGTCCCGGAGGGAAACCCTGCATGCGTCCCGCAACCCTAGTGGGCGCGTCCACCTACCCAGTGCAGCGCTTCGTGGCCCCATAGGGGACTCCACCGACGGCCCCAGGGTGTTACCGCCCGCACGCGCCCCCCCCTCACCCAGTGCAGCGTTTCGTTGCCCCACAATGCTTTTCACCGGGATAACTCACCGCCCCATACTCACAATTGCGGCAACCACAACTGCACATGGTTGGGTCCTTCGGTGGGATAGTTCCTTGTTGGCCCGTTCTTCCTCACCTGCTCCCTCTGCGCTTCGGTTTTGCTCCTGGATGTTTCCTTTCCCTCCCTCCCCGGTTTCGTCCCCGTGCCCTTGGGCCGCGCGTTCCCGCGAGCGCCTTCTGGCGCCTCTCCTGCGCCATCGCCCGTTCCCGCGTCAGATCCCG